GGGTCGGGTGGGGACTTCCACGATTTTGACTACTTGGGTCTTCTAGTTATTTGTAGTCAAATTGTCTTTTGGGTCTTCTAGCTATTTTAAGTTTAAAGCATTGGTAAAGTCTTGTACTTCAAATTATTAAGAACATATACTTTCAAATTGAAAACAACCTTTGCTTTTGTATTTAAGGTTTTAGGTTCTCTTCTCTTACTAGTACTAGTAACAAAACAAGATATCCTACTTATACACACTTTATCACTATGAGCATCAAAGTTAAGAAATAATTAACGTATCATAATAAGAATAGATAACACCGATATAACATAATTGGTAGGTTTAATTACAAACGAATAATGTATAAGAGATTGTTGATGCACAAAAGCAGTGAAACTTTGAAACAACGTACAGTGTCGAGTTTGTGACCTAAGCAAACATAAGATGTACGTGGTTCATCCTAAATTTGGCTATATCCACGGGGTAACGGAGTTCTCATTAATAGTGAAGTGTTTACACAATACATAGGTTCAGGTATAATCATCATTACTGAGTTCTAATGATGAGTTTTAGTATGGTAATGCCATTAATTAGGGATTAATTGTGGAAGAATGGTCTCTTTTTATAGTTGAGGAGAGTATATGGCTTCCATCCATGGTCAAGGTGGGACTCTAGGAGCTTTATTCTTACGTTAACACGTGTCGTGTTGTGATTAGTCTCTTGATTGGAGAGGAACTCGTGTGCTTGGGTAAGGGTGCGTCAACATGAACACTTAAGTGAGTCCCTGAAGATATGGAGTTGATCGATGCTCACTAATTTCGAGATTGATGAAGTATGGTACAAACAGAGGTTGTTTTCAATTAAGTCGCATGGCTTGAATGTTTGGTACCACAAACATAGAAGTGACATGCAGGTAGCTAAATGCCAAACTCAAGAAGCATCATTGGTGACCAACATTAGTATTCTTTGGTAATTTGGCACGTAACGGTCAAATTATCCATTGAACCTGTAAACATTAAGTCTACCATATTCCCATTCAAGAATTTTAGGGGCTTTTTCATGTCTACGTTAAGTTAATTAATTTATACATACGACCTTTGTCAAAAAATAAAAAATAAAAAATAATTATATACGACCAAATTGATGAATACTAATCTTGAAAAGGTCGGAAGAAGTTTAAGAAGCAAATGATTTGGTCTTCCGTCTTTGCACGTGTGTGAGACTGAGAATTCTCAAAATTGTTCCTCCTTGATTCAACTACATGAATGTTATAATTTTTCAAAAGTTCTGATGAAACACAATGCTTTGTTTGTTTGTTTTTTTTTTTTTTTTTTTTTTTGGAAAGGGGGATCCAAAAAGATCGCCAACGAGGAGCTTTTATTTAAACAGACACACACTAACAAACAAAACAAAGGCCCAGTTTATTTCTAGAAACAAACAAAAAAGGGGGCCTAAAAACAAAGAAAACATGGAAAATGATCCCAACAACAACGAAGCCCAAACAAAAATGAACATCTGAGAAACATCCACTGTGCTCTCTACTGCCAATCCGAGAAGCAGCCAGCCATCCAATCCTTCATCCACCGCCGATCATCACCTCCACATGTGCCACCTGCACACAACCATTAACAAGAGATAGTCGGCGAGAGAGAAGCCAACCATCAAAAAGAAGCTCTGGGAAAATCCCGAGCAACACTGCTGCGAATGGCAGACAACAAGGAGAACGTGGTGGTGTGGGAAACACTCAAGTCGGATACAACACCAGAACTCTACACACGAACCATACATAAACCATGGTTGAAAAACAAAGCACATAAGGGCCATGAAAAGGGATACCAACTGGGGTTGAGGATAGGAAAAGCCAGAGAGGAAAGGGAGAAGAACCATCAACAGATGGAATGGGAGAAGAAAGAAAAAACAAAAGACCAGAGGAAAAGGAGAAAGACCATCAGGAGATGGAAAGGGAGAAGAAAGAAAAGGCAAAAACAAAAAACCACCCACTGATCCGAGCCGCAACTAGGATCGGCAACACCAAATAGAAGCACGATCGAGAAATCACTCACACAATATGGTGAGAAGCACCCTCAAACAAAGGGAAGAACTCTCACAGGGAGAGAAAAGAGGAAAGTTAAACACAATGCTTTGTTTGGTACATTGGTTAAGGTGAGTAATTGCTTCCGGAAAACAAAGATGAACTTCACAATGACCAACTAGAGGTTAAGTTTTTTTTATCAAAACTGCTTCTATTGTGGTATGAAAATAAATAGTCGTGAGAACAGGTTTTTGATAAACTATAGTGCTAAAAGTGTTTTCAGCAAAACTAAAAATGGGAATAGGATTGTCTATATGAAAGTTTCATTAATTAGTATTGTTCACCTGCCTCTAATGAAAAAAAAAATATTTGAAAAGCAAGTCTAAAATTGTTTCTGCTTTCTGAGCTGTTACGGACCCATGATTTTGAAAAGAAAAAAAAATCAGTTTTTATTTTTTTCATTTGCCAAACATAATTAAGACCCCAAAATTACTTTTAAAAAAGTTTAAGCAACATCCCTAATTGTCAAACTAAGATTTTAAAGGATTTTAAAAGTGATAGATTTGATAGGATTAAAGAGGATTAAAGACTCCTACAAAATTCATATGGATTTTAAAGAATTTGAATGGATTGTAATGGATTGTGGGGGAAGAATTTGAAATCCTAGGGTGTGAGGTTGGATTCTTTTTAGTTTTGGTTATATATACTTTTTGCTTTCAAATCCCACAAAATCCACAACTTATTGAAATCCTCCAAAATCTTAATTTTTTTAATACACTCTAAAATCCTTTCTTTTAATGACTACACCTAAATTTGAATGGATTCTAAAATCTTTTAATTGACTACACCTAGATTTGAATAGGTTCTTAAATCCTTTAAAATCTTTTAATTGACTACACTAGGATTTTAAAATCTTTTAAAATCCTCTCACATTCAAGTTTGACTATATCCCCCTAAAATAATTGATGTAGACGGTTCTCTCTTTTTCTCTATCAATATAATACATTACGGTTATTATCTAAAAAAATTAAGTTAAAGCTAAAACGTATTTTTCAAGAAATTATAAAATCTTGGAACTTTTTCCATTTTTCTTCCACTAGTTTTATGCCATGAAGGAATCTAATACGTTTTAAAAAGCTATTCTTTCTGTTTGGCAGCTCGTAAAACACACCCAATAAGATTAATGATACGGGTATACTTGTTTGATACATTTTTGTATTAAATAGCCGGCTGACTAATACGGAGGCAGATTCTTTGCCTTCTCACTTTTTGTGTTCTTCTGTGCTTTCTTGTTTGTACGGAAGGAAGGGATAATTAGTCAGCTTCGTGTCTCTCCTCATTCTTCTTCCTCCATACCGACCTACAAGGCCGTCGATTGGCTAATCAAGAAGGCCAAGGCTGCCATAGACGAGCTCGACGAGCTTACCTCATGGAACCCACATTTGATTCTAACTATCGCGTCGGTTCCGGCCATGAAAACCCAGAACCCGGCCAGGACTGGCATCCACTACTTTGCAGGAGTGTGTTCTAAAACCAAAAAATAAAGTGTTTGCTGTAGAATGAATGAAGCAATGCGATAATAATTCTGCAATCCTTCCAAGACCCAATTCTGTAATCCTTCCAAAATCATTGCCTCTCTCTGTAATCCTTCCAAGATCCAAGGTCTACTCGAGGTGAAGGCGAAGTCGGTTCGTGCTTGAATGATGGGTACTCCGGTTAGAAGATGTGATTACTGAACAGAAGTCCATGGCCGAAAGGGTAGAAGAAGACGTAGGAAAACTTTGGAAGAGACTCTAAGAAAAGACTTAGAGTATTTGGATCTAGCGGAGGACATGACACAGAATCGAGCGCAATGGCATTGTAGGATTCATATAGCCAACCCCACTTAGTAGGAAAATACTTTGTTGTTGTTATTCGGAAATTGGATGAAAATAAGCAAATTGAAGCTGGAAGTAATTGTACTGTTTGTTCTTTTTCATTAATCACCATTTTTTATCTTATTATTTTAAATTCCTCTTATCTGGTAGAGCATCAAACATAGTACATGTAATACGATTATTAGTTCGATATTGCACAAAATATCCGAATAATTTAGCTAGTACTATTCAATTACTATTTATATCATTCAACTGAAATAATTATTATAATCCGAATTGACAAACAAGGCCATAAACGGCTTCTGGTTTAAACGAGTTTCACATGCTCTTTGTAGAGGATTCTTCACATTTTACATGGATACTTCCCACTTTGCGATGGGCCAACACGAATTCGGCCCAAAAAATACCCAAAACAACAAAAGTTGGATTATTTTAAACAATTTACGGGATTGACAAAACATAAATAAATAAATTTACGGCTTGTTCATTTGACAATATATGTACTGTCTACTGCTTGTTCACTTGTTAATTTATGAATGATCAACTTGTGTAGCTGCTTGGATGATTGTCAAGTGAGATGGAATCACTGTTTACAGACATACTGGCTTGGTTTTAAACAATTTTTTCTTTTCTTTGCAAAGAATCAATAGTAAGATATAGTGGGGAAGAGTTTTGGTACGGTTGTGCTTGAAACCAAATTAGTTGCAAAGTTATGCTGCGTCTTCTTTTGTGTGATATTTGTACTGCCCGTAGGCTATATATGAAGACAGAAGTAAACACAATTATAACTCTCCTAGGCTATCGTCTCATACGTTTGTTTAATAACTTGAATGGGAGGATATATACTGTACTGTGATACCAAATGGTTTACCTGAGGAACTATGATGAAGCGTTTCCGTTGGATTTCATTCCACTGTCAAATTTCAGCTTACCTTGACTCTTGTATGAAACTTTTTGTTTAGACTTTGATTGTTAATTATGCAGCTGTTGGATTTCATTATGTCCTGATGTGAAGGCTTCTCAATATTGTCACCATCCTCTGGCAGTTTGACAGCCGTGTAGGTTCCCGCCCCAAAGAGCGCCCCAAGAAATGGTGCAGTAAGGTAGACCCAAATGGCCCTAATGTTCTCACTGGGTTCGTTGAAGCTCCTTTTGTTTCCCTGCACAATTGTGAAAAGGAAACAAAAAGTTTCAAGACATCATCTTGAAATAGCATTGAGGTGTCTGGCATCCTTTTATATTTTTGACTTGCTGTATTCTTGTTTCTACATAAATTTAGGGGTGTGTTCATTTTGCTTGTGAACTGTGTATTTACTAAAGACACGGATCAACAATATAGCTCCATGTCAACAGCACACTCAGCATTATCATAGCTAGGTTATTATAGTTTGTTATAACAAAAATGTAACTAATCATAGCTAGGTGATTAGTCTTGACTTAAGTCATTAATCAATTATTGACAAATTTATAAATACCCCAATGTAAATTACTATTCATTGAATGAAAGATACTTTCTAATATTTATATCATAGCATATAACATGACAATTGCTTACTCATTGTAAATAAATTGGTTCACAATGAACCCGAGAGATCATTTGGGATTTAAATAGTTGGTATATGAATTGGTGCCTACTCTAGGATTAAGAGAGAACCTTTCTTATTACCGGGTGTGTATCTCCGGATCCTCACTGCTAGCTCTTCATCGTCCACTAAACTATGGCCTAGGATTGATTTTAAGAATAACACACAGAAACATAGATTCATTATTCAGCCAAAAGTATGATATTGTATGGTAGTGGGTTGAAGTTCTGATATACCCAGCTGTGAGTATGTTATGCATCACAGTTGCTCCCACTGCGATTCCCGCCAATTCTCCCACCTATACATGGTTTAAAATTTGATCACAGTCAGTCCCTATTATGTTGCGAGATTCTATGCATGGTTTTATTGGACTGAATAGTTTTCTTTTTAGTTTATTACAAATAAGTGGTGGATTGTCTGGTAGTTGGTCTTGTTTTTTCAACTTGCTATATTTTGAATTCAAACTCTACATTTTCATTAGTGTAGATTAAAATAGTAATATGACTTGTATTGAAATATTGAAAAGAAAAAAGAACAAAAAAAATATAATATTATTGTGTGGCAAACTTAGACTAGATTCACAAGCAGGCGCTCTGTCCACAAATGCAAAGTCGTGTAATTTGGTTTTTTTTTTTTTTTTTTTTCCGCTTATGATATTACATTGTTAGATTAGATAAAGTCGTTACGTATAAATTATTCTCAATGATCTGATCAGTCTTTTGAAAATATTGTAATTAAAAAGGGTTTTTATCACAAATAGTCCCTGACATTGATCAAACACATCATTTTGGTCCTTGACATTGAACATCAATAGAAATGGTCCCTGACATTGATCAAACACATCACAAATGGTCCTTCCGTTAAAAACTTTTTGGGCAATTTTCAAAGCTTCGTAACTCAATCGTTTCTTAACCAAATTTGACCCATGATATATCAAAATAAAAATAGGAAAGTGTAGAACAAGATTATACCTATTTGGAAGCCCAATGGTTGCCAGAGATGGCCGGAAAATAGCCTCAAATGTGACTGGTCCGCGAAAAAACTAGAAAACTCGCCTGAAATTGGGTAAACTTTAAACATTCATAACTTCTTCAATACTCAACGAAATTGAGTGATTCAAAAATGAAAATCATACAAAGAGAATGGTACCTTTATTGACTGCTAATTTACCGTGGTTTGACCGGAAAATGGCTCGAACTTGGATAACCATTTTCGAGTTAGCCAATTTTGAGTCGTTTTCCGGCCAAAATACGATGCGTTAGCCATCAAGAAAGCTACCATTCTCTTATTCTCGTCGAGAAGTATGATTTTTGTTTTTGAATCACTCGATTTCGTTGATTATTGAAGAAGTTATGAATGTTTAAAGTTTACCCCATTTCAGGCGAGTTTTCCAGTTTTTTCGCGGACCAGTCACATTTGAGGCTATTTTCCGGCCATCTCTGGCAACCATTGGGCTTCCAAATAGGTATAATCTTGTTCTAAACTTTCCTATCTTAATTTTGATATATCATGGGTCGAATTTGGTTAAGAAACGATTGAGTTACGAAGTTTTGAAAATCGCCCAAAAAGTTTTTAACGGAAGGACCATTTGTGATGTGTTTGATCAATGTCATGGACCATTTCTATTGATTTTCAATGTCAATGACCAAAATGATGTGTTTGATCAATGTCAGGGACCATTAGTGATAAAAACCCAATTAAAAAATATTAACTTTTTGTTGACTTTTTGTGTATATTCTTGTAATCTTGGAATTCTTAGTTTAGTATGATTTTATGTAAATTATTTCTTTCCTTATTGATAGGATTGTAACATCTTATAAATCCTTGAGAGATAAATAGACACACAATTATTCTAAAAGAGCATTCTCTTCTCTTTCTACCTTTTCGATAAAAAAAAGTTGGTACATTTCTACCTTTTTTATAAAATATATCTCTAGATTTGTTTCAAGTTTCTACTTCTTAGGCTGAGACAATATTGGGAAGAGAGATTATATTCACACACCCTAAATTACTTCATCAAAACTTTTTTACCTTTTTAATATTTTCTACACATCACTAACACTTTATAGAAAAATATTAACAAATTAAAAGGATGTGGGAGAAATAATTTGGGATGTGTGAATATAATCTCCCAATTGAGAACCATAATTATCTTTCACCAACTCTTTATCTATTCTCATGCCACCAATTAAATGTCACAAAAATCTTTCCCACAAACTGAATTTCAAAAGGAATAATTTCAATTTAAAAAGGAATAACTTATGTTGATATTTTATAGCTTGAGCGATTAAAAGTTTGTAGCTCATACATTTGCTTTTTGAAGTTGAAAAACTTATTCCCACAAAGGGGTTTGTAACTCGACCGATTAAGAGTTTTAAATCATACAATTGATATTTTGTATTCATACTCAACATGAAAATCATTATTCTTAAAAAATTAAATTTATATCTAAATTTTATTGGATTTTGTTTTTGCCTGTGTTCTAAAAAAGGGCCTATGCAGCCGCCTAGGCGTTGGGCGGTGGTGACTCGAGATGTTTTCTTGCAAATCGGTTGGAAAAATTGGCTAGGCTCTAGGCGGCTAGGCGGTTATTTATTTTTTTTTATGAAATAAAAAAAAAATCCTATCTAAGTCTAAGTGCCTATGCAAGTGAAGCTAATATGGCTCAAGGATGGATTGTGGAGGGTGGCGATAAAGAACTTGAGCTTGGTTCGAGAATTGGAGAGACATCGGAGGTAGGTGGTTCCCTAGAGCCTAGGAGGAGTTCTAAAGATGTTGAAGTAAGAGAGCTTCATGAAGAATATTTTATATCAAATGAGGACATGGAAGAAGATGAAGGAGATGATGAAGAAGTTGAGTTTGAGTCATAGAAAGAGTCTTGGAGGGATATGGTGAAGAAGAGTTTGATGCCTAGCTTTGTAAATTTGCAAGTATCTTACATTACTATATTTCCTTATTTTCCTCCTATTTTGCATTTTATGTGGTTTTAAATTGTGAACTTGTTGTACATGTATCATCCTACAATACTTCTCACTATGGTTATATGGCATATATGCTTAATGTGTTTTCAAATTTTGGACTTGTTGGATACTCTTTTTGCATTTTATCATTCTTTTATTATCTTATCCATGGATTTCATACAAGTATATTTTTTTTGTAAATGTCAATATGCACTTATTTACAAGATATACAAGATATACAAGGAATTTACCTAAATCCACCTAGACCCCCGCCTAGGCACCTAGGCGCTAGGCACCAGCCCGCCGCCAGACCAGCGCCTAGCATTTTTTAGAACCTTGGTTTTTGCATTAAGATATTATATTGTTATCTATTGCGGTTATACAATTAAAACACTACATGCATGTAAGTAACACACATAAATAATTGGAAGAACTCTAACCGAAAGAAGCTCCTACAATAGCCATGGAATCTGATTCCACCGAGAAGAAAAACACCAAGTCTTCTGTGAATTCCTAGCCTTAACACAATGCTCTATTGAAAGGTTTTTGTCCTGTGTTCTATATATAGGCCAAAGACTTAAAGTCCCTTCCATAAAGGAGACACTAAATCTACTTTCTTGACCTCCAAGTAATGTATCATAGTTATAATCATATAAGGATTTCATCAATCGTATTTCCTATATAAGACTCACAATATAGGATTGATATCTTTGGGTAATAAAATCACAACATATATTATTCTCTAATGATACATTCTTATTACATAAAGTAGACCATATTAAAGTTGATTTATGTCGGACAAATCCAACATTCTCCCACTTGGTCTACGAAATGCAATATTCATGTTTAGCCTTAAGATTAGAGACTAATACAACTTTAGTGGCCATGTACAGTGATTTCATCCCATCCTTACTCAAGTTTTTGTCAAATAAATCGTACAAAATGGAACTAACAAGGTTGTAAAGTTGTCATAACTTGAACCTTCATAATCACACATGTCGAACTTTTTATCCACATATACTCCTTGGCACTCTCAGAATCTGGTATTCCTTCTCTAACTATTTCAGACGTGGACTTTTTTTTATCACCAAAAGAGCCATACGATTTGCCTTTTCAAATTTGGCCTTGACATCAGCAGCTGCATCTACAACAGGTTATGGAAAAGAGTCCTTCCTAATAGCGATGTCAAGATCCATCAATCCCAGACATGTATCTATGTCTTGTTTCCACTTTTTGTAGTTTGTACCACTAAAGGTTTGAACTGTGTTCACAACATTCATAGCTGGATGAATAACAGACACACTTTACATTAAACATCCTAATAACTTCATAAGATAAGATTAACTCAACACTTGTGGGCTGATGAATTAAAATGCTTCAACACTAGTATATGCATTATATCAGTTACCTTCATGGTAGTTTCTAGCACTTATGAGAAGATGGAAATACTACAGCTGGTACAATACACATATCATGTTATGCCATTTAAATTCTAACCATGAAAACATGATCAACACCTATAGGCAGATGAACTGCATCCATGTTATGATTTTAAATGCAATTGTGAGCAGCAATCTGATTATATTACTCAGCTATTTCATGATACACGGCTAGGCTTGAATATATGATCTAATTGGGCAACATAGATACTGACCACGCAAACTTTATAGGCACCAACATACCATTCATTCATACAGATTATATGAGTATTAATCATGACAACAATCGTAGGTTTAAACCATATAACCTAGGACTATGATACCAATTGTTATCTATTAAGGCTATACAATTAAAACACTACATGCATGTAAGTAACACAAGTAAATAATTGGAAGAACCATAACCAGAAGAAGCGCCTGCAGCAGCCATGGAATCAGATTGCACCGAGAAGAAAAACACCAAGTCTTCTGTGAATTCCTAGCCTTAACACAATGCTCTATAGGAAGCTTTTTGTCGTGTGTAGTCTTCACAATGACCAATATTTATATAAATATAGGCCAAAGACTTAAAGTCCCTTCCATAAAGGAGACATTAAATCTACTTTCTTGACCCCCAAGTAATGTATCATAGTTATAATCGTATAAGGATTTTGTTGATGCACAAAACTGGAGGGTCTTGGAACAACGTAAATCCGATCGTGAATCTGCAAGAAAGTAAAGAACACAAGATGTATCGTGGTTCACCCCAATGCTTGGGCTACATCCACACTGATGTTGATATTGTTTCACTCTGAATGGTGAATATACAAGAAGGCTAGAGGCAGTGTGCTCTCTAGCCTATTTTCTGTGTGCTCTCTTCCCATGGCCTAAAACTTGGCCTCCCTTAATGAGGAGAGTGAGAAGTCCTTTTATAGAATAAGGACTCCTCACTTATTACATATTTGCCCCTTCATTTATTACATAATTACACTTGAGTCCCCCGAGTATTTATACGATGTCTAAAAACGGAGGCCTTAAGTATGGTACAAACAGATTTCATTAATCCTATTTCCATATAAGAGTCACAATATAGGATTGATATCTTTGGGTAATCAAATCACTATATATTATTCTCTAATGTTACATTCCTATTGCATATAGTAAACCATATTAAGGTTGATTTATGTTGGACAAATCCAACATAAATTTCTTTTTCACCCTCAAAACTAATACCAGAATCTTGTTTGTAACACAAGTGATATTTCTAGGTACTCTAAAGGAGAGATGAGTGTTTGAACATGCAAAGTAATGCGTTGAAGATAGAGGAAGACCTTAACCATTAGGACAATACACCACTTAAATTTACATTAGAAACTTAGAAAGAGATGAACTTATAGCTCTAGTGTCGGTGGCCACAACAGTGACAACAAACGTGAGGTTGAAGTTAATAATGAATTTAACTCCAATTATTGGATGACACCAATTCCCTGAAAGAACTGTCACTCCACCTCCCATTATTGGATGAAATATCACCTTCAATGCAAATGCAGCACAAACTGATGCCACAACTTGTGCTCCCACATATACTGGCACCTGTGCTAAAACATACCCTAGTTAACATTAGCCCGAGAATTATGACCGAGAAGTTATTTTTGCACTGCCACTGTGTTCCCGATGCACCTTGTTTGTAGCCTTTGGGTCGAATATATTAAAAAAGAATCAACAGATATAAATAAAAACAAATACTCTGAAGATCTAGAAGACTGGCATTTTGGTAATTATTTCTGAGATGCAATGGCCATTGTGTGTTCATAGCTTATCACTCACATGTTTCCTCGAGAAGTGCTTAAGTGCAACAAAGGCAGTGGTGGCAGAAGGGTTGAGATGGGCCCCAGAAATATGGCATGTCGATAGAATGACAATCATGACAGCGAGGCCGGTGGATGCTGCAAGGTCTAAGAGGGACTCTGAGCCTTGTGTCTTTTGGTTTACTATAGATGTGGTTGTCCCAACAAATAGCACGAACCCATTACAGATTAGGCATCAAATAAAAATGGGTTAGTCTTAGATTTCAAATCTGGTAAATATTCTTTAGCATATGTAACGAGAAGATTGCACAAATATGCCCTGAACTATTGAGGGTATTTCCAGTAAATGAAGAAAGTTTGAGTTCTACCATAAAATTATTTGGCAATATGGAGAGCAGCCTATGCAAAGTCTATTTTCCCATCAATTTGAGATTGATTCTTAATAGTAAAAGACCCCACTTTTGATAAAAACGATAAAAAAGAGGGATTCCTACTGTTGGGAAAATTACAAGAAAATTGTAATATTCTTCTAAGAAGCACGTAGACAATTAGATTGAGGCGAGGGTATCTTGCTCTCTATAAGGAGATTCGATCCCACTGCGGTTTAACAAAAGTTAATGAACCGATGGAACTATATATCTCTTGACTTGTCCCCTCTAGGATACAACAGCCCAACTAAATTGTGTTTGACTCAAACCCTTCTGCACAAAAAGAGAAGAGTCCAAAGCTCCACCACAAGAACACCCTTCTTTGGCCAATATAAGTAAAAGATACAAAGTTTGGAGGAATAAATATTGTAGTTATTAGGAAATTGGTAGTGGGATCATAAATAAAAAGACATGAGAAAATGCTAATAATTATATGTTTATTAACACAAATTAACAAGGAAAAAAGGTTACAAGAGTTTCAAAAGATGAAAAGCTAAAGACTCTATCTTAGTTTCCCACTAACCACAAATAATGACAAATAAACCTATGGATGCAAATTTCCGCCGTCTTCTCCTTTGATGAAAATGCACCTGCAAAATAATAACACCTAAGATCAAGGCCAAGAGCCTCACGCCCATGATGAATGAAGGGGTTTTGGCCGAAGAATCTCCAATGCCAAAGTTAGAATTTGAGAGAGAAAGTGTTTAGGGAGATTTTAGGGACATAATGAACTTAGCATTTTAGTGGGGGAAAATGAGACTATTTATAGGGGTGTGGCCGTCCCTATTTGGAGAATAGGGTCCGGCCACTTTTGGTGGAATTAGAGATTTAATTGCAAGATATTATGTGAAATAATATCTTGCAATTAATCTAGGCAATCAATCCTAATTTAAATAGGATAATTGGGAGTTACCTTTTGAGTGGGGATTTGATGAGGAGTGATGAGAGAGATTTGAATAAATACCATTTTGATCACCTTTGACTCTTCCTTGATTGAGTCGGTATTGTACGTTGCATGCGCGTGAGAATTTCAGTGTGCCTTATGGGTAATTTTATCCTTTTTACCCAAAAGTCCACATGTCACCTCCATAATTTTCTTGTTTATTTTTGGCTCCACAAATGGCCCCACACCTGTTGGGTTGCTCGCATGAAAGGGCAGCAGGTGTAGAGATCTTCCGTTGCTTTAGGAAACATAAGATTATTTCATATTTTGATGTAGATTCCCACATTAATTGGAAATTAGACCCTTCTAGGAAAGGGAAATAAATTACTCTAAAGTTTATTTAAGTCTACCTTAAGTAGATGATTAGATCAACTTCAGAGAGCAATTTATTCTACCTTACAAGAGAGAGAAATTTAGAGGATATTTGTTCCTCATCCCTTAGCAATCTTTTACACTTACTGATGTGGTAAAAACAAACACACAAATTAAACCCTATAAATTATGCAATCGTAGTATGAGTAAGAAGGAATCGTTCTATTCCGGGGATTAGAAGGGATGCTGATCAACACAAATTAAAGTTATAAAACTGAAAACTAAGTTAAACTAACAACAAAATAGTGAGGGGAGAGATTTTGGACGAATTTCATTAAAACAAAAGTAAATTGCAGCAAGTAAATTAAGTTGTGAATGAAATATGGATGAAGGGATAGCTAAAGGATTCTTCTCCACACATGAAACATATGCATACAAATCGATTAACAGTTATTCTTCCTATAAACCATGAATGACAATGCCCCAAATTAACTGTGAACAACACTAATTAACTCTCAGATTTTCCTAAGTTCATTGAATTGGACTCAGCGACGCAACCAAATTATTCTTCTCAAGTTCCCCAACTATGACAGCATGATAGAGATACATCTCAAAGATCATTAAGTTCTGTGAAAATCATAAGCATTGACAAATCATTCGTAACTATGAAAAACATGATACTCCTGCCAAGAATTTACTTAACTCAATCATGACTAGTGACTTTTACTACTTACAAATATAAGTTCATAACGATTAGGTGAAATTATTCTAGCATCAAATTCTTGCATGCAAACTAAGTATGCATCCTTAATATACATACAAGAATAAGTTCTCTATAAAGCAAATAAGTAAATCGCATTCATGTTTTATGAAACAATAATTGGATGTAATCAATTTATATAAAACATATGATCATGGCTTTGAATTCACCTCTAGCTAAAAAAAAAACTTAGCTACACATGTTAATCATAACTAAAAAATAATCTAAAATAACCATTGAAACTTAAAATAAAGATAGAAAGAACCCATAAAACTCTAGCGACTTCAATGGAAGATTGCAGGTTATTGCACACTCCCATCCTCTCTAATTTGCGGCAATAATGTATATATAGGGTAAAGGCACAGCTGAATCCCAGGAGGAAAAGGATCAGGTTGTTTGAATTATTTTAGGACTCCTTGAATCAGATAGGAAGTGTTGGAATGTGATAAGGATTCCTCCTTACAACTGGAGATAAGATAAGGTAAGATTGGATAAAATAGGATAAGATAAGGTTGGATAAGTTAAGGTTCCTCTCCAACTAGGATTCCTCTTTCTTGTGTAATTCCTTGTCTTCCAAGCCTCACCTTTAATTTCACTAGATTTTAGCACATATTTGGCACCATTTAAACACCAAAAACGTCAATCCATATGCTATCCAAGTCCAAAACTGCTCCAAATTGCTCAATTTTGCCATTTATTGTCATCTTTACCAATTGGACCTACAATAATACAAAAATAACATAAATTACCAAAATATCGAAGAAAATGCAAAGAAATAAGATAACAAAGTCGCATAAATATGCTCCTATCAAATTCCCCCACGCTTAGCTTTTGCCTCAGGGATTTCCAATGAAACATGACATGTTAAAAGTCACTACTCACATAGATTCTAGCCATCCTTACTCTTGAGCCTATACTTAACCGCAATAACTACTTACCAGCTCACATTTAATCAATTAAAACAACATTTGAAAATAGTAACATGCCTTAGAGAATTTACTCAATTCCTCACCTGATATACTCTCTATTTTCACACAGATTTTCTGACTACACTCCCTAAACTAAGTAAGTATATGTGAGAAGATTGATGTAAACATGTAGATTAGCACTCACATATGTTATAACCAAGAAGACACTTTTTGGAATTATTAATACAAACATGTATGTGATCTCATGAACGGAATGCCACTAATTAGAAGCGAGAACCAGAGATTCCATGCTCATACCAATTTCAAACTCCACATATTGAAACACATAACAACCAAGATAAAAGTCTAGGGTTGTAATGGGGCTAAGGTATTGGCTCACAAAGAAAGGTCAAGGATAAATAAAGGTTCTTAGAGTGATAGTAAGCAAAATAATGAAATTAACACTTAGAATTCAACTTTTGATTGCAGTACCCAACTTTAAACACAAAATGAAGATTCGTACAACTTTAGGGTCGGATTCACATTTTTAGACCATTCTTCAACAACCAACACTTATGAACTCATTCTCACTTCTTTTCAACCTCTTTTTTTTTTCTTAACTTTTTTCTTGTTCTTTCTTTTCTGTTTCTTTTTCAACGTTTTTCTCTTCTTTTTTTTTTTTTTTGAAACATAAAACATAAGCACTACTTCACCGGATTCAAAAGAACAAATCCTTCCCCCACACTTATTTTTCTGCAAATCGTAGATCAAAAGGAATTCTCAACAAGTCATGCTCCACTATTCTTTAAGAATAAGGGTATGGATATTCCTATACTAGGCTAAGTAGGGATAATGCAGGCTAACACAAAAAATAGGCTAAATAAGGCTCAAAGGGATTAAACCTACAATACATATGCAAGGGATAAGGCTTTTTGGCTCTGGTGCTAACTAAACAACTTCATCTTGTTATTTGTTATGCAATCAATTTTATGCTTTGAATGAATAGGTATTAGTTATAGTATTTGGAACTAAAATGATGAAAAAGCATTCTAAGTAGCAACCAAGCAAAGAAATAATGAGATCATGCAATGACTTTGGAAAACAAGAATATAACAGATTAATAACTCTCCAAACAAAGAATAGCCTCAAGTCTCACAGGGTTGTAGCGTTAGTTTGAGTTTCTTCCTTCAAGCATGTTACAAAAAACTGATTTTTTTTTCTTTGTGATTGCATGTGAATTCGTAAATGACAACTACAACTAAGTATTAAACAAAGAGCATATCAAAATTCCACCTATGTTTGTAACTTTCTTTAACAGTCATGCAATTAAAACCAAATCCTCATCATTGTGTTGGAAGGTACCCTAAGACACAAACAAGCAACAAAAATGACTCTTTTTGGTATTTTCTCCAAAATTTTCAAATTTTTTATTTTTCAAAATTTTGCTTTTATGACACACAATAAAACACTTTAAAACAGTGAATAACAACATTAGTAGTGATAGGTGGTGAAATTCGCAAAGAAATCATGAAAAGCATTACCCCCCTCCCAACACTTAAACCAAACATTGTCCTCAATGTTTCAAAAATAAACATAAACAAGAAAGCAATATAAAGATAACTAGCAAACAAGACAATCATTGCAAAGTAAAAACAATAAAGAGAAGGGTAAAAGAAAGCAAATTTGGTTGCAGGAGCCAAAAATTCCATTGTCTCTATAGTTGAACATATGGGTTGCCTTCCAAGAAGCGTTTGCTTTAACGTCTTCCAGCCAAATGATGCCTCCATTTAAGCTTCACTAGGACCAATAGCATCGAGAGGTACATCCTCCACGACATGCTCCTCAAAACTTCCATGCATTGGATCTATGAAC